TGCCCCTCCCCCCTGCTCACATGGGCGTGCACGCGCTGTCTGAAGTAAATAAAATCCAAAAAAAAAATATTTTTATGAAGATTTTTTTATTTATTTGACGGGGACAGAGAATGGGAACACAGCAGGGGGAGTGGGAGAGGGAGAAGCAGGCTTCCCATGAGCAGGGAGCAGCCCCATGCGGGGCTCGATCTCTAAAAGGCGGTGTGGAAATGAAAGCACTACCATTAACTGCCTGCTGTGTTTTTCCATAGTACTTGAGGTGCTGGCCATACATAATGAGTGATATGATCCATCTTGCACTCATCTAAAGCAGTAATTTAAAACACTGTAGTAGCTAAGTTTAAACAAATGAAACTAACTTTGCAATATCTAAAATAATTCAACAGGTAATCAGTTAATTTTGAGGCTCAGTCGGTTAGGTGTCTGCCTTCAGCTCAGGTCATGATCCCGGTGTCCTGGGATCAAGCCCCACATTGGGCTCCCTGCTCAGCGGGAAGCCTGCTTCTCCCTCTCCCACTCCCCCTGCTTGTGTTCCCTCTCTCGCTGTGTCTGTCTCTGTCAAATAAAATCTTTAAAAATAAATAATAAAATCTTTAAAAAAAGATTTTACATATTTTTAAAACCCAGGGTGTATGTTTTTAACACATCCCAACTTTGACTTATCAATAGCCAGTCCCACATAGCCTGAGACAACCAGATTGGACAGTGCAGATCTAGAGGGAGGCATGTAGGTAAATTTAAGTTGCATAATTAAACATGAATAATTTTTGGAGTCCTGGGGGGGGCGGGGGTGGGTGTGTGGTGGAAACTATTTAACTGCTTAACATTTTGTAGCCCCCCCCCCCCCCGCCCTTTTCCCTGGCTGTTACTGTGTTTTCAGTTTCAAAGCCTTGTACTCCATGATGGATATCTTGGGGTTAATCCTTGTAAGCAACATAGTTGCCAGGATATATTCTATTTTAAAATAGACTACTCACAACCTTGATCAAGACCTGAGCTGATGGGGAGCCTGGGTGAAGTGGCTCCTTCAGCTCAGGTCATGATCTCAGGGTCTTGGGATTGAGGCCAGCCTTGGGCTCCTTGCTCAGCCAGGAGCCTGCTTCTCCCTCTGCCTGCCACTTTCCCTGCTTGTGCTCTCTCTCTCTCAAATAAAATCTTTAAAAAAAAAAAAAAGACCTGAGCTGTGACCAAGAGATGGACACCATAAGGAGGGCACATGATGTAATGAGCATTGGGTATTATATAAGACTGATGAATCACTGAACTCTACCTCTGAAACTAATAATACACTATATGTTAATTAATTGAATTTAAATTGTATTTATTTTAAAAATTTTATTTATTTGACTGAGAGAGACACAGCGAAAGAGGGAACACAAGCAGGGGGAGTGGGAGAGGGAGAAGCAGGCTTCCTGCTGAGCAGGGAGCCCGATGCGGGGCTCGATCCCAGGACCCTGGTATCATGACCTGAGCCAAAGGCAGACCCTTAACGACCGAGTCACCCAGGCGCCCCCTTTCTTTTTTTTTAAGATTTTATTTATTATTTGACAGAGAGAGAGCGAGAGGGGGAACACAAGCAGGGGGAGTGGGAGAGGGAGAAGCAGGCTTCTGGCAGAGCAGGGAGCCTGATGTGGGGCTTGATCCCAGGATCCTGGGATCATGACCTGAGCTGAAGGCAGATGCTTAATGACTGAGCCACCCAGGCACCCCTGAATTTAAATTTTAAAAAAAGGTTGGACAGGGCGCCTGGGTGGCTCAGTTGGTTAAGCGACTGCCTTCGGCTCAGGTCATGATCCTGGAGTCCCTGGATCGAGTCCCGCATCGGGCTCCCTGCTCGGCAGGGAGCCTGCTTCTCCCTCTGACACTCCCCCCTCTCATGTGCTCTCTCTCTCTCGTTCTCTGTCTCAAATAAATAAATAAATCTTAAAAAAAAAAAAAAAGGTTGGACAGTTAACCAACTGAACCACCCAGAAGATAAGTTTTTTAAAGATTTTATTTGAGGGGCGCCTGGGTGGCTCAGTCATTAAGCGTCTGCCTTCGGCTCAGGTCATGGTCCCAGGATCCTGGGATAGAGCCCCTCGTCGGGCTCCCTGCTTCGCGGGAAGCCTGCTTCTCCCTCTCCCACTCCCCCTGCTTGTGTTCCCTCTCTCGCTGTCTCTCTCTCTCTCTCTCAAATAAATACATAAAATCTTTAAAAAATTTCTTTTTATTTGAGAGAGCACATGAGAAAGCAGGAGGGCAGTGCGAGAGGGACAAGCAGACTCCCCGCTGAGCAGGGAGCCCAATGCACACACACAATTATTGGACCCACTCCTAGTTCTTTCACTCTGGCCATCACCACCAATTTCTGTAGTGGTCCTCAGTCCCAGCCCTTTGAATGTCTCAAGATTCAATCATAGACTCTTCTCACTCTGTATCCTTCATTATGCCTTTACCTTTTACTGTAGTTATATTTAATGTCCTTAAAAATGTGGGCCAGCCAGATGTTAACCTTTAGTTCAGACTTTTTCTCAGAGCTTTACCCAAAGATTCAGCTGCCTAGTAAACATCTCAACTGGGGCTTAGATTTTACCTTCAATATATCAATGTGTAGGGGCACCTGGGTGTCTTAGTCAGTTGAATATCCCACTCTTGGTTTCATCTCAGGTCATAATCTCAGCGTTGTGAGATCAAGCCCCACATCAGTCTCCATGCTCAGCACTGAGTCTGCTTGAGATTCTCTCCCTCTTCCTCTGCCTCCCTCGCCCCCCGCTCCCGCTCGCTCTCTAAATAAAATCTTTTTTTTCCAAAGCTTTTATTTATTTATTTGAGAGAGAGAGAATGAGAGAGAGCACATGAGAGGGGGGAGGGTCAGAGGGAGAAGCAGACTCCCTGCAGAGCAGGGAGCCCGATGTGGGACTCGATCCAGAGACTCCAGGATCACGACCTGAGCCGAAGGCAGTCGCCCAACCAACTGAGCCACCCAGGCGCCCTCTAAATAAAATCTTTAAGAAAAAAAAATATGTATCAATGTGTAACAAAAATGCTTCAAAAAATTTCTTTCACCAGTCCAGTTGCTTCTCTCTTGCCTCTGAGGATAAAATTGCCTCAAGGTACCACATAACTTCCCTCATTGCTACCAAACCTGGTCCACATCCATTGATCATTTATTCAACCAGTTTATCTATCTATCTATCTATCTATCTATCTATCTATCTATCTATCCATCTATCTATCTATGAGAGAGAGAGAGAGCACAAGCAGAGGGAGAGGGAGAAGCAGGCTCCCCACTGAGCAGGGAGCCCGACCAGGGCTCGATCCCAGGACCCTAGGATCATGACCTGAGCCGAAGGCAGACGCCCAACTGATTGAGGCAGGGACCCCTATTCAAACAGTTTCTTAAGTCAGAATCCTGAGAAATATTCATGACCTGTTTACTCTCATTTCTTGTATCCAACCCTCCAATTAGCTGTTGCTTCAATTTTATCTTCTTTTTTTTTTTTTTTTTTTAAGATTTTTATTTATTTGACAGAGTGAGACACAGTGAGAGAGGGAACACAAGTAGCGGGAGTGGGAGAGGGAGAAGCAGGCCTCCTGAGGAGCAGGGAGCCCGTCGCGGGGCTCGATCCCAGGACCGTGGGACCATGACCTGAGCCGAAGGCAGACGCTCAACAACTGAGCCACCCAGGCACCCCTCAATTTTATTTTCTAAATATTTTCTACTTCTAAACATCAACTCTCCACCACTATTCCCACTACCCTAATCCAAACATGTATTGGTTCCACTACAAAAACCCATCAACCTACTCGACTTGGAATTTTACTTTTGCTGGATTTTCAATCGTGTTTCTATCACAATCAAGACCATCTTACTAAAATGGAAATGTGTGAGTCACAAACACACCACCTGTTTGAAACGTTGAAATGACTTCCCAATTTTGGGGATGGAGAGAGGATCCCTAACTTGGTCTGTGAGCACTGGCCTAATGTACCAGCCTCATTGTGCTCCACTCTCTTCTCATTTCACCTGCATATTTCTTCTAAGGAGGAGGCTCTTAAGTCCATCCGCGGTACTCTCACCACCAACTTTGCCCTCCTAACACTTCATGTTTTAGTTCAAACCTCGGTTCCTCAGTTCACTGATTCCCACAGATTCTGTCAAAGTAAATCGTTACATACCCGTAACTTGCTGTTTTTATTTCACATATTTTTTTAATATGATGGACACCTATCAACATCCACCTGGACCTTAGAGTGGGAGCAGTTAGGGTTATTTTGTTGTTGTTTCTTTCTTCTGTTAGCCTGTAGGTTCCACCAGAGCAGTAACTTATCTATTTTGCTCTCTCTTGCATCCTCGAACTCTGGAACAGTGCCTGGTTCGTTGAACGTGGTAAATAAATGTTATTGAACGAATCAGTGACTGAATGAGAGAAACCACCGAAACCAGCAACAGACAAATCTAAAACGGTCTGATTTAGCTAGTTTTTCATGAAAAAGTGCAACAAGCTCAATAAACTGAAGTAGCTTGTCCAAGATCACAAAGGTAATCTGTGACAAAACTAGTGTTCCTTATTCTCTTGCTGCAATTTAGCACGCACACTAGAATCTGTGATAAGACATGCGTCGTGCTCTGATATTTCAGCCTTAGATGCATCACAGGGACAATACATATTGTTTTAACACATTATGATCTAGTCAGACTTTCTGCACATTTAAAAAGGACCAATCCCAGTACGCAATGCAAACAAGGAGTTAACAGTCGCTTAGAAACCACATGTCCCAGCATGCCATTCTCCCGAGCAATCTCGGAAGTGGCTCTGAGAGACGCCATTGCATCCTGGGAGTTGTAGTCTCTCGGGACTGGCCCGCCCCTTGTGCAGCTTCGGCGGCCTACGTCGGGAGAAAACCCTACCGGGTGGCTTAGCGCGACCCAAGCCCGAGCGAGCGGTGCCGCCCTACAACCTTCGCCCCCGGCCCGGCAGCCCCCTCCGCCTCTTCTCGAATCTTACCCACAGTCCAAGATGGCGGCGGAGGTGGATTTTGGCGACCTAGAGCTGTTCGAGGCGTTTGACCACCCAGAGGAGTCGATTCCGAAGCCTGTCCACACCCGCTTCAAGGATGACGACGGCGACGAGGAGGACGAGAATGGGGTCGGCGACGCGGAACTGCGGGAGCGGCTGCGGCAGTGCGAGGAAACCATCGAGCAGCTCCGCGCCGAGAATATCCTTCCCGCTCGCTCGGGCCCGGTCACCGGCGTGCGGTGGGCGGCAGGTCTGGGAGGGCGCGGGCGGAAATTCCAGGAGGGCCACAGTTCCGGGCAGTCTCTCTCTCGCCCCGCAGGCGGGCGGAGAATCGAGGGTTCGGTTTGCGTAAGCTGCCTCGGTGCCCCGGCGCGAACCTGTCCCCTCCGGGGATCCGTGTCCTGGACTAGACTCGCTCCTCGCGCCTCACAAACCGGGGCTGGTTTTTGGGATTATTTCAGACTGCTCGCTCGTAGGTTGGTCACCACTTCCTCTCCTCCTCTGAAGTCCTTATCCGATTTCGTTTTTTTGCAGCCAAGCTTAGGTTGATGCGGTCATGTTATAATTGTCTATGAGGAGACAGCCCGATACTCAGACCTTAGGGTAGATCTGGTTTTTTTTTTTTTATAGCGGGGCAGAAGCTAGTGGTTTTGGGATGCGGGAGTTGGGAGTTTAAGGATTTGAAGCATGCGGAGAGAAATGGTTAATTGCCTGATGATCGAGATTGGGGATTCGTTTTAAAGTTCTTCGACGTTGAACACCTTCCTTCCGTGGGGAGGGTGCGTTGCAAAGCCTTAGGAAAAAACGCGCCAAGTAAGTTTCCGTTTGGCTTAGTTACATGATTACAGCCTTTCTAGCAAGACTTGTTAGTCTGGTTATTTACATTCTTAGAGGTGTTTGGTGTTTTTTTTTTTTTTTAACTGTATGCAGATGATTTCGGTTCAAATAGTTCCCCGTTTAAAATGAAACCCTGAAAGCAGTTGGCAAATCATCTTTAAAGGTTTTGGAAGTCTGACTTTTTTCATGATGCAGTTTTCCTTTACATTTTAATATGTAAAATTTCCAAATACAGAAAAGTTGAGAGGACTGTACGGTGAACATAGTTCTATCCTGGATTCTTCGTCTTTAACCGTTTGTTTTACTGTATCACTTATCATGCTGCTCTTTCTTTTTCTTTTTCTTTTTCTTTTTTTCTTTTTTTTTTTTTTTTGAGAGAGAGAGATGCATGAGCGGGGGCATGGCAGAAGGAGAGGGAGAGAGCACCTCAAGCAGACTCCACGATCATCATCGGGGAGCCCCTTGGGGTTCCATCTCAGGACCCTGAAATCAGGAGTCAGATGCTTAATCGACTGAGCCACCCAGGCACCCCCATGCTGTTCTTTCTTAAATGAATTGCTGTTTAGGTTTTGATGGGGCACCTTTGTTTGAATAACACTTTTGGTTCAGTCCGTTAATCTTTGTTTTTTTAAAGATTTTACTTATTTATTTGAGAGAGAGAATGAAAGAGAGAGCACAAGAGCGGGGAGGGTCAGAGGGAGAAGCAGACTCCCTGCTGAGCAGGGAGCCGGATGTGGGACTCAATCCTAGGACTCCAGGATCATGACCTGAACCGAAGGCAGTCACTTAACCAACTGAGCCACCCAGGCGCCCTCCGTCTGTTAGTCTTTTGAACTACATGACCCTGTTTTAGAATATCTATGTTGGAAGAGATGAGAAAACTATTTTAGTTTTTAGGTTTAAATGCCTAGCCCTGCAACAAAACAGGGGCTCAGTTAAGTGTGTCATCCTCAAAATATTTGCGGGTCTTTTAACGTTTATAACACTCTGACGCCGAAATGAATAGTTGAATTTTATGATATTTATGATTTTCTTTAATGAGGGCTTATATTCCTTAACAAGTAATAACATCAAGAACTTAAAAGAAAATTGAACATTCTGACTCGACCAAGGTATGAGATATTGCAATTACAACATTGTCCTTTATTAATATTTAATATTTAGCTATAATTTCTTTGTAAGAAGAGTAGGACTTTTGTATCTTTTTTTTTTTGTATCGTTTTTAATTGTTCAGCGTTCTGTGAAGAAATCAGTAATGATCCTTTATTTTTAATTTCTGGCTGTAAAATTTGAATTCTAACTACACTAAATTTTTAATTAATTTATTAGTTTATTTTAGGGGGTGTTAACTAGATTTATTGCAGTGATCATTTCACAACATATACAAATATTGGATCATTATGTTGTATACCTGAATAACTTTTAAACTGACTGAGTAAAAATATTTGTGAAACATGTCCAGAAAATTTTGACTTAATGTCCAGAACAGGCAAGTTGCCAACCTAGCTGTTCTTATTCCACAAACATTTCTGGGAAGTTAGAATTAAGATTACAGTATTACTCTAGGTGAAGATTTATTTATACAGTTAAAATATATTTCTAAATAGAAATGATGGGAAATTTCATTTTAGAAAAAGAAATTAGTGTGCTTTTGAAGAAAGTACAATGAGTAGATTTGCGTTCAGACATCTGACTTTAAGAGATAGACGAACAAATGCTCATATCTTAATACAAATTTATCTAACAGGTTACTAAATCTAAAATATTTGTCAAACTACAGACTTATTATGTGAAATGGTATTATCAAGCTTTCAGAATTTGGGGGGCCGTGATCCAGTGTCACATGCACTTTTTTGTCCCTGGTACCAGCTGAAGTAACTAAAGGTTTAAAAATTTCAGAATTTGGATGTATTTTGATTTGTTTTTTAGGATTTTATTTATTTATTTGATAGAGAGAGACACAGTGAGAGAGTGAACACAAGCAGGGGGAGCAGGAGAGGGAGAGCAGGTTTCCAGTGGAGCAGGGAGCCCAATGTGGGGCTCAATCCCAGGACCCTGGGATCAGGACCCGAGCCGAAGGCAGACGCTTAACAACTGAGCCACCCAGGCACCCAATTTAGATGTATTTTGGAAACCTCCCCATGCCCTACCTTCCTTCCTCTATGTGAGCACACTTTGTGGATCTAAACTTGTTTATGGTTAGATATTAAGTGTACTGACTATAACTGGGATTCCTCAAAAATCATAATTTTTTTAATATTTAAAGATACTTAGATAAGCACACTTTCTAATAGTTGATAATTTAAACATTTACAAAGGGGTTATAATCAATCAAGTTTAAATGATAGTGTCATAGGCTTTACCAGTACATGAGATAGGCATTAGTATCCTAAAAAAGGAATAAATTAAAATTTTCTTTTTAGAATTAGTGCTCTTTGTGTTGTCAGACTGATAAAGCATTCTATAGAAAATTTAGAGGGCGCCTGGGTGTCTCAGTCGTTAAGCGTCTGCCTTTGGCTCAGGTCATGGTCCCAGGGTCCTGGGATGAGTCCAGCATTGGGCTTCCTGCTTTCTCTCTCTCCCACTCCCCCCTGCTTGTGTTCCCTCTCTCGCTTTGTCTCTGTCAAATAAATAAATAAAACCTTTTTTTTTTTAAAGATTTTATTTATTTGTCAGAGAGATAGAGAGCACAATCAGGGGGAGTGGCAGGGAGAGGGAGAAGCAGGCTCCCCGCTGAGCCACGAGCCCAATGTGGGACTCGATCCCAGGACCCTGGGATCATGACCTGAGCCGAAGGCAGTCGCTTAACCGACTGAGCCACCCAGGCGCCCCATAAATAAAATCTTAAAGAAAAAAAATTTAGAAACAAAAAGAAATAAAATTATATAGATAAAATCTGTAACCCCGGCCTCTTGGTTTAATCCTTATTTTTGGAACTGTCATGATCAGAAGTTTCTTTCCTTTTTGTCCAATAAACATTTTTAACTATTATGAAAAATTGCAAATGTATGGAAAATGAATAGTACAATTAATATACATGTTTTCATCCCATATGCACATTTTACCCTAAATATTTCAGTATGTGACTTTTTAAAAACAAGATTTTGTCATGCATAATCACAACAGCACTGTCACAATGACTGGCATGATTCTCTTAACACTCCCAGCTCAGTCCATATTCAGATTTCCCCAACTGAATGTCTTTATAGCTGATGGCTCAAATTGGACTCTAGTTAAGGACCATACAGTTGTGTGTGGTTTTTAAAAACATCATGGTTTTTTTGTTGTTGTTTTTAAGATTTACTTATTTATTTGAGAGGGAGTGAGAGAGCACGTGCTTGTACGTGTGCTCACAGGAGCGCAGAGGGGAGGGGCAAAGAAAGTCCTAAGCAGATTCCACAGAGTGCCTCAGTGCTGAGCCCTTCCCCCAGCTCCATTCCCAGAACCCTGAGATCTAGACCTGAGCCAAAACCAAGAGTTGGTCGTTTAACCAACTGTGCCACCCAGGCGCCCCCCAAAAAGTCATGTTTGTTTGTGGGTTTTTTTAAAGATTTTATTTATTTATTAGAGAGAGAGAATGAGTGCACTTGAGAGCGAGCAGGCGGAGGGGGAGGGGGAGGGAGAGAATCTCAGGCAGACTCTGCTCTCAGCCTGGAGCTGGACCTTCCTATCCCATGACCCTGAAATAACGACCTGAGCCAAAATCAAACCTCAGATGCTTAACCAACTAAGCTACCCAGGTGCCCCAAAACATAATGTATTTTTAAAAAAGAGAAGTTTGTACAAATTCAAACAAACTTCTGAACCTCTCCATATTTTACTTTTGGTTCTTGATGCAAGCAATTCCAAATATAGACTGATTTATTTCACATATTGTGCAGGTAAAGGAATAGGAGGCAGGTGGGGAGAGGCGGAATCTAAGACTCAGCTGGTCCAGGTTACCACCAGGATATTGTTCCGGTTTGGGGGCCACATTTTACTTTTTTTTTTCTTTTTTAGCAGTATTTGAAAATCAAATCCAGGAACAAAATACTTCTTTTTTTGGTTAAGATTTTATTTATTCATTTGCCAGCACGCACAAGCAAGGGGAGCAGCAGAGGGAGAGGGAGAAGCAGGCTCCCCACCAAGCAGGGAGTAGGGAGCCCAATGTGGGGCTCAATCCCAGGACCCTGGGATCATGACCTGAGCCGAAGGCAGATACTTAACCGACTGAGCCACCCAGGTTCCCCAACAGTATACTTTTTATATCTCTGCTTTAGTATCTGGGATTTGAAATACTGGAATGTGCACTGCCCTCTAAGAGGCTGTCCATTTAAAGTGTTTCATTTTCCTATATATTTCTAAGCTAAGTTTACTCTGATTCTTTTAGAAATATCTTCTTTTAACCTGCTGGTTTATCCAGACCCTCCCTTCCCCCAGTATGTAAAGAAACTAGCCATTAGTTAAGGAATTTTTTTGGTTGAAAACTGAAAGATTAACTATAGTTTTAAATTTTTTTGTGAAATATTTGTAAAAATATGTAAGGGATACCTCTATGTAAAACCATTAAAGTAGGTAAAAGTTTGTGAAAACTTAGATTTTTTTTTTTTTGAGAAAACAAGAGTTCTTGGTGGTTTTTAATCTTATTTGTAAAATAATCTATGCTCTTTGGTACTTAATAATTACAAAAGTTGTGTGTTTATACATTTATGAATTTTACTTTAAGATCTTCTAAGAATATGTTTTAACTTCTGTTTTAGTGGAATATTGGTGAACAATACTAAGTTAGATGGACCTTTATTACAGATTCTATTTATGAACAATGTTATTTCAAAGTAAGTAATTTCCCCTTTTCTACGTATAATGAGTTAATGTGTTTATGAAACAATGTCTTCTATAAGTATGCTGTTTTCATTTGTATTTATTCCATCTTTATTCTTTTACTTAAAATTTAGAGAATCATGATTAAGAGCAAGGACATTAGCGTTTCTAAAGCTGAATTTGAATCTGGGCCCCTACTTTCTGCATATGTGAATCTGGGCAGGTCACAACCCTGTCTGCGTATCCGTTTTCTCACTGGAAAACAGGATACTAACGATAACCACTTCTTAGGTAGCTAAATGAGCACCTGTAATAGCCTCTGCTACCACTGCAGCAGGAAGTAACGTTAGTCGGTTCTCCCCCCAAATCAGGTAACTGAGTTTACCCTGTTGGCTGTCTTCAAAGCTTACCCACGGGATTTTGTGTGTGTGAGTGTGAGAATGCGACCTTAGCAAGCCTTCCGGCATGCTTGGGGCTAGGGTGACTCAGTGCATTCCTGCAGTGCTTGCTAGAATGTCCTGAAATGCTTTGAGGCTTTGCCCTGTCCCCCCCTCGGAGCGTGGTCATAGACATTTCAGACAGTTGGCTGCCCCTCTCCTGGCTCGCTGAATCTGTTGTTACTGCAGGCGCTAGGCAAGGTGAAGAAGGTAATGGGAACCATATAGAGCGTGTTAACTGTGTGGCAGGCCCTTTACCGCCTTTCTCTCAGCCCAGCTGGAACCTGAGGCTCTGAGGGGTGGGGACGCCGGTGGTGAGTGTGGCGGTAGCAAGGGGCCGGGCACAGCTGGCCACCAGCACTCAGCACTGCTGTCACCATCGGATTTGACTCAGCGTCTGCTCTGGCTCATGGCACTCTAATTTCTGGCACTGTAAATCTGCCGTTTTGCCGGCAGAAATCTTGGAGTGTCAGAGCTAGAGAGACCTGAAAGATCAAGTCTGGTGAAGAGCAAGTTGGCTGCGCCACCGTAGCCTCATCTGGTCTCCTTCGGCACCTCCGGAGCTGAGTGTTAACGGTTATAACGTGTTGAACGCGGTTCTTGACCTGGAAAGCTGGAGAAAGTGGTCCTCCGTGGTTGTGCTACTTCATTTTGTGTTTTTTTTTGCATTTTTGGTTTTATTTTGTTCCAGTTTAACATTTAAATAGGTGTTTCCTTCTATGTGCATAGGGAATCTCTGGGAGGAAGACAGGGAAGAATGCCTTGGTTGTCTCTGCGTTGCAGAGATAGGTGGCTAGGACGCAGCCAGGAAGGAAGCTTTTCATTACGGAACGCTTTTACTTCTTTTGGATTTTGAACCATGTTTTACATGAATTATGTATTCAAAATTTAAATCTGTACAATTTATAAATAAAATCCATCTAGTCTCAGCACAAATGTTTGCCACTGTTACATGCCAAACACTGAGTTAGATTTTCATAATCATTTTGTTAACTCGGCAACAATGTATATTTTTTTCCTAAGAAATAGGTTCCTGAATATTATAGTCAGTCAGTGATTTATTAAACCTTTGAAAAACAAGATAACAGAATTTACTCCTGACGTCTTCTAATAATGCATAAGATTTCGGTCTATTCAGTGTTTACTCTGGGTTCTGACTGTTGTGTCCTCTCATGCAGGCAATATCATCAAGAAATAGAGGAATTTGTATCAAATTTAGTAAAAAGATTTGAGGAACAGCAGAAAAATGATGTGGAAAAGACTTCCTTTAATCTTTTGCCCCAGGTATTTCAAATTTAAGAGACTTTAAGATTAATAGGTTATGCTTTTCACTGCCAACTATTAGGCCACAGGGAGCCTCTTGTATCAAAATGAAAATGATTAAGTGGAACCACTATGTCCTGCACCTTAAACTAATATAACACTGTATGTCAACTACAACTTTAAAAAAACAAAAAACCCCAAAAAAACCCCAAGATTGTTAAGACTGTTCACCTCCATCCTTCAGTTGGGCGTCCTTCACTGGTCTGCCAGTGCTGTCCAGTGCTGTCCAGTGCTGCCCAGTGCTGCCCAGTGCTGCCTCAGGGGGTTCTTTTGCTTTGTGGCTCCTTCTCTTAGGGGAGTCATATTCAGACCTGGCTTCCCTCAAAATTAGTCTTCCCCTTCCCCCCCATTTCCTCACTTGGACACATGGTTTGGGGCAGAAAATTAACTTGAAGCCAGAAAAAAAAATCTGTATTTCTGGAGTTTATAAAAGATGAATTCTTTTTCTCTAAAACCAACAGGTTCGCATGCCATTCTTTTTTTCCCTTCTCCTTGTTGGGAAAAAAATCCATAGCATGCACAAAGAAATCTAAAAAATTACACTATGTGACTATTAGAGCATGAATTTATATTTTAAAAAATCAGAACTATGATTTTGGGGCTTTTTTTTAAATTCCAAATTAAGGTAAGTAGAGTCTTTCAAATAGGGTTGTTAGCTGTTTATCCTCAGGTTGGAGAACAGTGTGTTCTGATTAATTAAATTTTCATCACCTTTAGTTTTCATGTATCATATGCAGTTTTTAAAGATTCAAGAAACAAAATACATTTAACAATAAAAACCATACTGATTACCTAATTTTTGATTCAGGGAGCGCTTCAGAATTTTATAGCGGCCTGAGGTCTGTGAGAGTTATATTATCCATATTAACCAGTAACGTAGAATCACATATTTTTTAATCTTTCTGGTTATCTGACTTGAAGATAAAGTCTGCTTTGCCAATTTAAGTATTGAGAGTTTAAATATTTAATTCATTAAATTTAATGCATGAATTAGTATTCAGTAACACAAAAGCATAGCATACACTAATGCTTCAGAAGGTGCTGTCTTTTGTATCTTCTATAAAATTTTAAAATTTTTCCACTTGGTGAAATTTATTTCGTAAACATTTCTAGCTTCCAAATTTAGCTATCATGACAACAATGAATTAAAAGCTTAATATACCTTAGTGGTATGTATTAGAAAATAAGGGGTGTATTTAAATTTCTAATATTTGAAATTCGAAGTTGGTAAAGATTGGTTACTTTTTGTAACGTGTTTTTCTTTGCATTAGCCATCTAGTGTTATGCTAGAAGAGGACCATAAAGTAGAAGAATCCTGTGCCATTAAAAACAACAAGGAAGCTTTTAGTGTAAGTGTGGACATTTTAGTTTTGAATTCTGTAGATAACATGTTTCCTATCCTTTGTCATTTGGGTATTGTTAAGGTGGTGTAGCCATATGGCCTCAAAGAATCCCCATCCTTTCATGAAATTTGTTATAAACAATAGTGGAGACTTCAGCCTCTAAATAGTATAGTTTGCTTTTTAGTAACTATTGTATACACAGTAGACATACCTCGGAGGACTTTATTTTTGTCCTGACAAACCTCTTTTGGTTGATGTTCAAGAACATGGATGATGATCTAGAACGCGTGCATGTTGCACTTACAGATGGCTGAGGCTGAGAGGGGACGGATAAGTAACTAATATAACAGATGGCAGATAGGAGATTAAAAATGTTGACAAGCTCAAATGGTGGGTGAAAAATAGAAGCAGCATAACAGGGATGAGCCTACATTTAGGCCTTTCCGTACCTATGCGGAATCTCACTGTGTCAGTGCAATGGAGTGGTGTGATTTTGCAACTTAAAAAAAAGAGTTCTTTTTTTTTTTTTTAAGAGGATGATGTAATCCTGGATTCTGTTCAAGGCTGACTAGTTTTCATGTTTAGGGAGTATTGTGCCCCATTGACAGACTGCAGTCTTGAAGAGGTGGGGCTGCTGGGGTAATGAAGAGCCCCCAACATTGCTGAAGAGATTGACAGGGGGTATCACATCTCTGCAAATGTAATAAAGGCTGTTATTTGCAAAAGGTGTTATTTTAAATCACTCTGTGTAGTGCCAAGTGGCAGAACCAGGACCAGTGACTGGATGGACTATAAAGAGGCACATTGCAAGTCAACTTTCAGTGCAAATTTCTATCAGAGATGTGAAAATGAAGTGGTAGGTCTCATTTAAAGAAAAAAAAAAAGGCAAATTCCATGTCACTGTAAAAAGGCAAAGCCTGAGATACTGTCGAGGTGCTTTAAAGAAAGAATTGGAACTACATAACTTTTCATGTCCCATCTAACTCTAGGGTTCTGGGATTGAGACTGGCACCTGCCTGGAAAGTGGGAATTTTATGTATTATTCATTTAGTCCTTTAATAAAGAGTAATAAATATTTGCCAAATGCTCCCTTGTGCCAGGGACCCTTTTGGATTCCAAGGACACAGCAATGAAAAAGAAGGGCAAAGTCTCTGCTGTCACTGAATTACATTCTAGTGGGGGACGCAGAGCTCTGAAGAAAGTAAATCAGCTCAAGGAGTTAGAGGGTAGCCATGGGGCATTCAGTTTGTATAGTGAGTAGATGGTGACAGCCTCTCTGAACCAGCCCTGGATAAATTGAGGGCGTGAGCTGTGGTGCAGTTGGAATGAAGAGTACTCCAGGCAGTAGACAGAGTGGAAAGCCCTGGGGCAGAAGCAGACACTTAAACTTGCTCACTGTGTATCAAGTACTGTTCTAAGCTCATTACACATACTGCCCATGAAGGTACTGTTGTTATTCTCATTTTACATCTGCGGAAACAGACATGGAAAGCTAAGTAACTTGCTGTTGGTCCCTTGGCTAGTCAGGGACAAAGCCAGGGTGTGAATCCAGGCCTTCTGACCCTGGAACATAAGATGTAGATCTCTATGTTGCCTTATAAGCCATAGTGAGGGCTTTGGGTTTTACTCTGAGTGAGGTGAGATGCCATTGGAGGCTTTTAAGTAGAAATGTGACATGATATGACTTGAATTTTTAAAAGAACTGGCTTTTCTGTGGAAGATAGTCTGTAGCTGGTTTACATGTGGAAGCTGGAAGCCAGCGGGGAAGTTCTTGTGTTGATATCAGGTGAGGGAATATGGCAAGTTAGTCTAGAGAGCCAGTGGTGGAGGTGAGAAGTGGTTCGAACCTGGAAATACCTTGAAAATAGAACTGATCAAATGTGTTGCTGAATTGGATGTGTAGAACACAAAAGCGAGAGAGTAGTCAGAATGACTCAGGTTTTGGGCCTTAGCAGCCGGAAGAGTGTCCTCACCTTTTCTGTGATGGGAATAACTGGTGGGAGGAGCGGGTTAGGAGGGGAATGGGAATCCAGTTCAGTTTTAAGTAGGTGAGTTTGAGATGCCTTTCACGGATCCAGGAGAGCTGTCAGTTGGCACTTGAATATCCAAGATTGGAGTTTAGGAGGCAGAACTGGATATTTGGGTGTTGTCAGCATATTCATCCTTCATTCCATGGGTCCGGATAAATCACCGCGAGAGTGCAGGTAGACAGGAGGACTGGGACCAAGTCTCACAGAAGATGGAGAGATGAGAAGGTCTGGTCAGCAGGGTAGAGCACGGTGTCCTAGAAGCAAAAAGGAGCATTTCTCTGAGGAAGGAGGAATCAGCTGTGTCGGTTGCTGCTCATTGGTTGAGATGAAGACGGAGCTGTGCAGTGAATTCAGTTGTTGGGGGGTCATTGGGGAGCGTAGCGCCGTGGAAGGAACGGAAGCCTTCCCGGAGATGTTCAGGAGGGAATGGAGGGGCCATCTAAGAAAAAAAAAAAGTGGGGGACTATTCCAGATTAAAAGAGACTAAAATGATTTAACATGTAAATGCAACACATGAACCTTAAATCCTGGCTTAGAGGGGAAAAAAGGCATTTTGGGGACAGTTGGGAAAACAGTAGAGATTGGATATAGATGATATTAAGGATTTATTAATTTTCTTAGGTGTGACAGTGGTATTGTGGCTTGTAGGAGAATGTATATTCTTATCCTCAGGAGACCCATCCTGAAGTGTTCAGGGGTGAAGGTCATGAAAAGAGGCTGCAGCTGGTTATGTGTGGAAGCTGGAAACCGGTTAGGAAGTTACTACGTTAATCTCTGGCGAGAGAAAATAAGGGCTTACTTTCTTCCAGTGGTTCAGTGAAAAGTATATGTGCATGTGTGCACGTGCATGGAAGATAGCAACAGTTGTTGAATCCAGGCGGAGAGGAATTAGCTGGGTGTTCACTGTACCATTTTCTCAACTTCTGTGTATGATATTTCCCCCAGAATCGGAGGGAAAAGAAAAGGGGAAATGGGAGGGAGGGTGGAAATAGTAAATACAAATTTTCTGAATTGTCTTTGCCCCTAAGGGAAGCAGAGTTGGGGAATCGGAGGGAAACATACGAGTCAAAGCTTTTATTTTTAAAGTCTGAGGAGAATGCAGCTTGATAGTAATGATCTCCTGAGAGGGGAGCTCCGATCTGGGAGACAGGGGCGTTTAAAGAAGCAGCTCTTGCTTACGCTTCAAAATCTGGCTCCTTTAACTAGGGAGCTGATTATGGCTTCTAAGAATTTCCTCCAAAATTAAATTGTTAAAAGAGTTAATCATAGTCTTACATAATTTAATGTCTTTTTTTTTCCTGCTTAAATAGCAATATTTTTTGACTTGTTTTCTGCAGGTTGTAGGAAGTGTCCTGTATTTTACTAATTTTTGCCTTGATAAATTGGGGCAACCGCTACTAAATGAAAACCCTCAGCTTACCGAAGGATGGGAAATACCCAAGTATCCTACATAGTGAATGAAGATCTTTTATGCATCTTGCCATTAAGTTCACCTTTAAAAAAATTTACCAAATTTTGCAGACTATGATAACTATTCCTTAATAAAATTCACTAAAGGTACCAGCAAGTCTTCAGCCACATTGTTTCTCTAGAAGGGCAAGAAATACAAGTAAAGGCAAAAAGGTTTGTGTGGGGAGTTGTTTTGTTTTCTTCTTCTTTTTAAGACTTTTTAACCAAAACCATAAACTCTTTTAGCTTGAAAAATTAATATTCTTCATTGCTGGCTTACTATAAATAAATTACAGATTAAGCTAGAATTTTAATATATAGACATTTAATATGTTTAAATCAGTCATCTGTTCATTGGAATTCGTTGGTTCACGCCTAGTACGCTTGGGGGGGTGGAGAAGTGTCATTGTTGTTGTCAGTTTGATTGCTGCCTGAGGACCTGCCCCCTCCCAAGTTACCTAAAGGAAACAGAATCTGTTTGCCTCGGTTCTTCTCTTAAATTAACCACTGACAAAACCCAGAGGTGACAGATCAGTCGGGAACATAAGGGTCCTTGGTTAAAAGAGTTGGTTAAAAATACTGTTTGTTTAAATCGCTGAGTACAGGAGGTGAAAGTGTACTCATGACTGCAGATATTAATAATCTGTGATCTGCGTGCTTTCTTGTCTCTCTGATACACTTCGCTGTCATAAAGAATTGCATTGATTTGCTTTTATATCTTCATTTACATTATGCACATCTTTGTTTTTTGACCAAATAGGCCAAAGCCTCACTGTTTCAATTGTGGTTCTGAAGAACATCAAATGAAAGATTGCCCAATGGTAAATTTTTCTCATATAAAAAAAAAATCTTTGAACTAGAACTTTCTAATGTTTTCCACACATTTATGGCATTGTGTGAGATAAAGAAACTTGCTAGTTAACTTTCTTTTGGTCCTCGAATTTGAAACCTTTCAAATTTGTACTTAAATTTTAAGACCTTATATTTAAAAAAGAATTATTACAGTGCTTTGTGTCTGAGATGAATGAAACATGAGAGTTACTTTTTAGAGTTTATTCTAAAAACTTGATTTTATGTTAAGATAATATCGAGGTAATAAAGAGCTTCTTTGCTTATTTTTCTAATATATCCCCTTTCTTTTGTACTTGTTTGTTATATATTAAAATTGGAAAAATCTGTTTGCTTGGCTTAAAACAGAGTGCTTATATTTATTCAGTTCCTAAAATAATTTCTAAACTGCTTGTTTCCATTTTTCTCAAATGCGTTGTGATCTAGCCGCGGAATGCTGCTCGAATAAGTGAAAAGAGAAAAGAGTATATGGATGCCTGTGGCGAGGCGAGTAGCCAGAATTTTCAGCAGCGATACCATGCAGAAGAGGTGGAAGAAAGATTTGGAAGATTCAAGCCGGGAGTCATTAGGTACCTCTGTGATTTTTTCCATAGACTGTCGTTTCTCTGTCACCAGTATATGGAGCGTTCTCTGTGTCTTGAGGGTAATCAGCAGTATATGGGTATGCTCCAGCCCCGCTCTGGAGAATACGCATCAGTTTGTTCAGAAATATTCACTGGAATCTCCCGTGTGCATTTGTGAAGCATTGTTTTAAAACATTGGGGACCGTTTGTGTTTTCATCCAAACAAGACTACTATATTTCTTTTTCCTCTTTTGTTTTTCCTTAGTGAGGAACTTCAGGATGCACTAGGTGTGACGGACAAGAGCCTTCCACCTTTTATATATCGAATGCGCCAGCTCGGATACCCCCCCGGGTGGCTCAAAGAGGCTGAACTGGAGAACTCAGGGCTTGCGCTCTATGATGGAAAAGGTATAGTTGTTAAGTTAGATAAGTCAGCTTACATGTTACCTTTTTTTTTTCTCCTTAATTAGAGAATTTGAGTAATATCTGATGGAAATGGTAACAGAAGGGCGCCCGGTTGGCTAGTTGATTAAGCGTCTGCCTTCAGCTCAAGCTGTGATCTTGGGATCCTGGGATCAGGCCCCTCATTGGGGAGTCTGCGTCTCCCTCTCACTCTCCCTCTGTGCACGCTCATTCTCTCTCTCTCTCTCAAATAAATAAATAAAATCTTAAAAAAAAGAAGTGGTAACAAATCTATTCATCAGTGCAGGAGACCTAGAAATATAGATTACATAAACCCTCTTGCAATCTAGAACCCCCCTCTTAGGTATCTACTCTAGAAAAATATTCACACATGTGCACAAGGAAAGTATGTATATGTATTTTTGTAGCATTGAATATGACTATGAAAAGTTAAAAACAACATTAAGACCCTAAAGAAAAATGGCTATAAATAAACGATGGTAGATCTGGGCTGTGGAATCCCTGTAGTCTTTATTTATTCTTATTTATTTATTTTTTTAAGCGAGAGAGGGAACACAAGCAGAGGGAGTGGGAGAGGGAGAAGCAGGCTTCCCACTGAGCAGGGAGCCTGACGTGGGGCTCGATCCCAGGATCCTGGGATCGTGACCTGAGCCAAAGGCAGATGCTTAATGACTGAGCCACCCAGGCACCCCTCCCTGCAGTCTTTAAAGAGTGGAATGAATCTGTGTGAGCTGACATGGCAAAATCTCTGTACAATACTCAGTTTCTGCCTAACTTACCAATGATGCCATTCATCTTACATGGGAGGGAGGGAGGAAGGAAGGAAGGATCCCATATGAATGAAACCATGCTCTATGTTTTTTCTGAGGACATTTATGTAAAATGTATTTTTACAAGATGTTAACTGAGAACCATTTAGATTTTAGGATTCAGACTCAGAGAAGCCTTTCCTGACCATCTTATTTACTTATCTGTTTGTTTATTTAAGATTTATGTATTTATTAGAGAGAGAGCATGCACGCAAGCGGGGTGAGTGGGGAACGGGCAGAGGGAAAATGTCCAGGCAGACTCCCACTGAGCAGGGAGCCTGACTCGAGGCTAGATCTCAGGAGCCATGAGATTAGGACCTGAGCCAAATCCAAGAGTCGGATACTTAACCCACTGAGCCACCCAGGCGCCCCTGACCACCTTATTTAAATATATCTCTCCCTAATTGGCCTGCCAGTCTTTATCACTGGGCCCTCTTTGTTTCCTTCATACCGTATCACAATTTGTATGTATTTACTTCTTGGTTCTATTTCTCTATTTTCCCAGCTAGATGGTAAGATTTGTAATTGCTAAAACCATACCTATTTTATTCACCAGTATATCCCCTAGCATGTAGCACAGTACCTGCAATGTGGTAGATGGTAAGAATACTTTTGAAAAGAACTTCTAAAAAGTCTTAACCAATCTGGCAAGCTCAGCAGTGGTTCCCCCTGAGAAAGAAAGAGGATTGGACTAGAGACTGTAGTTTCTCTCCAATGCTCTAAATCTTTTAAAAATGAAAATGTTTCTGTATATTACTTAGGGAATTAAAAATATATATATATTTTAAAGATTTTTTTATTGTTTTTGTGAGAGAGAGAGAACACGAGCGGGTTTAGCGGGAGAGGGAGAAGCAGACACCCCTCTAAGCAGGGAGCCAGATGCGGGACTCGATCCCAGGATCCGGGGATCATGACCTGAGCCAAAGGCACACGCTTTACCGACTGAACCACCCAGGCACCCAGTAGTTAAAAATATTTTTAAGAACTCACCAAGCCAGGGTGCCTGGGTGGCTCAGTTGGTTGGGCGACTGCCTTCGGCTCAGGTCATGATCCTGGAGTCCCGGGATCGAGTCCCACATCGGGCTCCCTGCTCAGCAGGGGGTCTGCTTCTCCCTCTGACCCTCTTCCCTCTCGTGCTGTCTGTCTCTCATTCTCTCTCTCTCAAATAAATAAATAAAATCTTTAAAATAAAAGAACTCACCAAGCCAGGGACGCCTGGGTGGTTCAGCCGGCGAAGCATCTGCCTTCAGCTCAGGTCATGATCCCAGGGTCCTGGGATCGAGTCCTGCATCGGGCTCCTTGCTCAGGGGGGAGCCTGCTTCTTCCTCTGCCTGCTGCTCCCCCAGCTTGTGTTCTCTTTCTCTCTTTCTCTATGACAAATAAATAAGTAAATAAACCTAAAAAAAAAAAAAGTTCACCAGGCCACCCCTTCTCAGTTAGTGCCGGAGAGCTGTTTGGGACCGGCCTTTCAGTATCTCCCCACATCATGCCAGCGTTCAGGTGTCACTCACACCACTTTCTGTAGGTGCTTGCATTTCTGTTGTCTTTTCTTTCCCTCTCTTTTTTAGTTTGTTTGAGTAGAGATTCTTTGGACAAAAGGTTGTGGATGATGGAGAGTCTCTTGAATCTCTTGATCTGTAGGTTCACTTCCTTGTTTTTAACAAAACTGTATTTTGTCCTTTCGAGTTTTCGAGATTTTGGTGCTGCATCCTCATGGTGTGTTGCTTTAGCAGGTTCCTCTGCCCCTCTGTTTATTGTGATGGAACCTGTCACTGATGACCATTGCTATCTGTACCTGTTAATGATGGGTTGCAAAATGGTTATATCCTCATTCTTTCATTACTTCTTAGCTTATTAGCTGGAATACTTATCTAAAGAGAAACTTGTAAACTGATTACCTTATGTATGTAGACATCATAGGACTGGCAAAATAAATGCATGATTTATTCAGTAGTTTTCAAAATAATAAAGTGGTTCCCAAATATCCTTCTGTCATCTGTAAAGTGGCTTTAATAGTACGTACCTCTTAAGGTTGTTAATGAAGATGAATGGAGTTGATACTTATAAACCGTTTAAAACAGTGTCTGGTACATAATAAGAATTACTTGTTTATTAAATAAAGGCATTGGAATAGAGTATCAGGCAAGTCATCAGATCAATGCAGACTAGACTTTTAAGCAACTCACAGACGAACCCAGGTTTCCAAGATTTTAGACAGTTATTTTAATTAAAGTATCCTGTCTACATTGTTTAAAAGTTCTAATCTAATGATTCAGAAAAATTATAATCGAAGCCATTCTCAGAATGATTCTGTTGCCGTGGATATAAGCACTTGACCAGCCCACTTTTGGTCTGGAGAGGGATTGACCTTGGTATCCAGCAGTACGAATGCTCTTGATGGTCTGCTGCAGATGGTGCTGATGGGGAAGCGGAAGCTGGGGAAGCCCAACAGAATAAAAGCGTCACCTACGATCTCTCGAAACTGGTAAACTATCCAGGTTTTAATATATCTACTCCCAGAGGAATTCCAGATGTAAGTATATTGTTTTTTTTACTCTTCTGGGGATGGGACATTATTATAACAATTGTTCAAAACATTAGCTTATGTAGCAGTTACTGTTATGTAAAGAAGTAAATATGTTACTTGTGTGTTTAACTTTGTAACTTCCTTTTATGTTGACTAGAATCTTTTTTTTTTTTTTTACTTTTTTTTTATGATTTTATTTATTTGAGAGAGAGAGTGAGTGAGAGCACAAGCAGGGTGGAGGGGCAGGGGGAGAGGGAGAAGCAGGCGCCCTGAGATCATGACCTGAGCCAAAGGCAGATGCTTAACGGACTGAGCCACCCAGGCGCCCCTTTGTTTGTTAGAATCTTAAGTGAAATCTTGTGTTCATTTAAAAAAAAAAAAAAGTTTTTTCTGATTTTATGCCTTATGAAAAGGAGCTAAAAAGAATGGTTAGATTCTGTAAATCTAAAATTATTCTAAAATTAAAAGATTATGTTTTTAAAACATGGGATTGTTCTGAGGTAGTATTGTCAGTTCTATGGAATTACTTTGAAAGTAAAGCCTTTTATAAATCTAAGTTACAGCGACTCATTTTTCTATGTTATAATTCCTTTCTCTCCATTTTTTCTTTTCAAAGTAAAATTTCTCATTCTATATGAGAATGGTTTTCTACATTTAATCTCTTCCAACTTTATTTTATGTTTCAAGACTCGACAATGGCCTGTTGTGGTAGCGGTGGTGGTGGTGATATTTCAATAAAAAATGCCTTCGTAGGTGTTCTTAGGAACTGGGCAGCAGAGAAGGCAAAGGTTGAACTTAGAGTCTAGGAAATAGATGTGAAGACAAGTGTGTAATTAATTCAGGGCTAAACTGCATGGCACGAGCCGTGCGTGCCTCTAGAAATGGTCCCAGGACCGGCCTACATCAGAGTCACTGGGGGCGCTCAGGAGAAAGGCACATTGTTGAGTCCCACCCTCAGATTGAACTGACTTGGCCCGGGAATCTGTAGGTTTGACAAGAGCCCAGAGTGATTTTTCTTGACAACCAATGTTGCACGTGCTCTTGAGAAGAGAGAGAAGTGATGTTGAACCATAAAGATGAGTGCTGGGTTTGGAAAGGGAAAGAACAGAAGGTGGAAGCTCAGCGTGAGCAAGTGTGTTATGAGTGAAGGCGCTGTGGGCAGTGCGGGGCCTGAGGGGAGGGAGGCCTGCCGGGAGTCCACGGCCACTGCCTAGAACTTCTGCTTGGAGTAGGTGGGACCCTTTTGGGGCAAGTGATTTTGTCAAGTAGGCTTTTAGTATTCAGTGGGGATCATTTTGCAGGCAGAGTTGGTTGGGGTTTTTTTCCCCTTCAGTGCACCATCATTTTCATTAATTCCCCCCAAAAGGAGAAGTCAAGGATGAAGCAGAAATGTCATTTGAGACCTCCACTTTACAAAATCTCAGAAGTATGATGTTTTCCAAATCCAGGCTTGTTCTTTCCTTCTCTTCATCAGGAGTGGAGGGTGTTTGGGTCCATACCGATGCAGGCCTGTCAGCAGAAGGACGTGTTTGCCAGTTACCTTACTTCTAACTTCCAAGTGGTAAATAGCTTTTTAGGGTGTGGTTGATAAGAATGTATTGCCTTTATTTGTGGGATTTTGTAACTCATTAGCATCTTAGTGCTCTTTTGTTTTGTATATAAAGCACTCTGTGTTTTCTGATGAGTCATAAGGAAAAGGGTAGCTACATTCACCATTTACCTACACTTAGCTCCAGACTGGTTTTCTGCAGGTATTGGAGGGAAGGCATGGAATCTAATTCTTTGTCTACCCCATTAACTCCTGCTTGGCTTGGCTTCTCCATTAGCCAAGTGTGAGGTCTGGCGGCAAGAGGTCTTCTTCCCAGTCCAGCCCTAGCAGCCCAAAGAAGCAGAAGAAGGAAAGCGGCTCAGCAACCTCGCCTGCAGACATGGAGCTTGACTCGGGTAGGTTTCGTCCTGTGGTCTTGATTTCACTGAGAAGGTAGGGCGAATGTGCGTGCTCCTGAGTTCCATGGGGGCCGGCGGGGGCGGGGGTGCCTTAGGAGCACTAAAAGGCTTTGATTTTGTCCTTGGAGATGAGAGCATCACCTCTAGTACTGATACAGGGTCAGGTAGGAGACCTCTTGGAGTGAGGGCCGGCTTACTACGTTCCTGAGTCAGGCGGTCCTACCCACCCAGCCCCAGTGGTCCTGGATCTGGATCTGGACTGGCCCTCGAATAGGGGCAGTGCTCTGGGACAGGGGGTGGAAAGTGGTCTGCTTTAGCAGCTCCATCCCAAGAGGAAAAAGGACAGAGCCAAATTTCCCCGGTTATTCTTCCCATTCTTCTTGCCCCAACTCGGTAAGTCGCCCCTCCTTCCAGGGAAGAGAGGCCAAGTCGCCCCTCCTTCCAGGGAAGAGAGGCCATGAGGAAATTTGTCCTTCTGGAAACCCACAGGGGAACAGAGGCCTTGCCCTCCGATAGTCCTCTGGCTTTTTATTCTCTTAATCCTCTGGGCTTAACTATGGAAGCTGTGGCCAACCAGGACTGTGACAGGCCTCAGCAGGTCAGTAGTGGATCAGGACAGGCACGCACCCACCTTGCTGTGTCCCTCACCCCCTAATACCAACCACGGGTCCTTTGGGCTTCCTCTTGGGACTGCTGGTGAGTAGCCTAGATTTTGCCCCCAGAAAGCTCTGGAATGAATCTGAACTTCAGGTGAATTTGATAAATCTTTAGCAAAGCTACTCTGAATCCAAGACTGAAAAGTCACTCCTTGCGCTACCTCCTATCCCAAAGTATGCCCAGCTGTTTTGGTCCTTTTTGCACATCAGAGGTTCTAAAATGAGATTAAATGGCAAGGTGAAGATGAAGTGCATTTAGATACCCTGATGATAAGATGCTAACAATACAAATTGCCCCAATGTGATTGTGAATCCCTTTCTTATTTGTAAATTCCCGGGGAGAATTCAAAGGTCACAGATTAACTTCTCTTAAAATCCAAGGTAATTAAAGTCCAAACTCAAAGCCGCCCCCCCATTTTCCCAAAATTTTTGCTCTGCTTAGTCTCAGCCACCGGAGTTCTTGCTGCCAGAATCACGTTCACAGCCCGGGCTTTTAGTAACGGCAGCCTGATTTCAATATCCAGTCTCACTGTTCACAAGGTCAGTGAGTTCACGACAGAATTACGACAGTCTTTGCCACATGTGTGAACTTTTGAAAACAAGCAATTCTCCAAAAGAATTACGTATTATTACTTCATACTTGTTGACTGATCACTTAAGTTGTTCAGAACCTAGGTGGGAAGGCAGGTTGCTCTTAGCAACCCTCAAAGACCCTGACCGGACATCTGGTGGGGTGAGAGGAAACCCTGAAGGGACTGACTGGGGATGGAGGGATGCATGGAGACACATGGTGGTCAAGACATGGGCTTTAGGCTTGAGCTTTAGTGTGTGGTCAGCGTTCTGATCCTGGTATTTCGTAGAGGTTCATGCTGGCTCATCTTTGAAGCCTGCGGTTTGGGCAAGGGAGCTCTTGCCCTGTGGTCCTTTGTCCTCAGGAGGTCAGTGCATCTTATAGCGGCTTCAGTTACAAGTGTGGTTCTTCTAAAGAGGCAGAGGCTTATCAGCGAAACCAGCTGCTGTTGCCCATGGTTGGGACCAGAGGGCCTTTAGCAAGTAGCCCGTGACCTTGAACTACCCCTAGCAAGTGTGTGCAAGCAGGCAGAAGCGCCAGCAGCGGCCCCGCACCAGGCCCGCCCTGAGGAAGGGATTCAGTTCGAGCTGCTGAGGCGGGGCCGGCAAAGCAGAGGTGAGGCTCGCCGTGGGCACCACCCCAAGTAATAATGTACCAGGTTATCAGGGCCAGATGTTAGAGCTGCTTCTGCGGGAGCCACGGTGGCCTGCTCACCGAACCAGGCTGACTTACTAACACCCAGGTGTGTGGTCCTAAAGCAAGGCAGGCCTTCCCACCCCCAGTCCCGGCACAGCCCCCACCCAGCTGCTTCCTGCCCTGCACCGACCGAAGTCCGGAAGGAGGAGCAGAGCCTGTGACCTCTGGGGACGGCTCACTCCCAAGAAGAAACATTGAGTTGCTGTAATTATTTTCCTGTGGAAAACTTTTGTCACAAACGCATGGGTTTAGCGATTTGGTTTGGAATTGTGAACCAGAACTGCCTTCGTGTCTTTTCCTGGTGTACAAGGATGTTCTCCCGTCAAGAATACATACCCCAGGGCGCCTGGGTGGCTCAGGTGGTTAAGCGACTGCCTTCGGCTCAGGTCATGATCCTGGAGTCCCAGGATCAAGTCCCGCATCGGGCTCCCTGCTCAGCGGGGTGCCTGTTTCTCCCTCTCCCGCTCCCCCCTCTTGTGCTCTCTCTCTCACTCTCTCTCTCAAATAAATAAAATCTTTAAAAAAAAAAAAAAAGAATACATACCCCAGTAGTCTGTGCTAATCAAGCTCCCGTTACACTTTGGAATGGTTTGTTCTTAAACACATAACAGGCATTGGTTGTTAAAGACATAACTTACTGGCGGGTGTTCTGTCCTCCTGGCCGCCTGTCCCCTCCTCCTACATGGTGTTCATTGTAGTGAAGAGCACCAGTGGTATCCTTGGGATTCCCAGACTGAGAGATGCCGTTCATCTGTACTTGCATCCACTTGGCGCCATTTCTAGCCGGGTGCCCAGATCCCAGCAACACCTCAGTAATGGCGTCTTCGTTCAGGCTTCTCTCCTGATGGCTCTCCCTGCCCTTCTCACTGGTGTTCATCCTTCCTTTCAGCCCTTAGCTGTTCTTTACTCACCTGAGTTGATTTCTTAAAATCTAAGGGACAGTATGTTACCTCACAGATCTTACTGCCCGAACGAGAAAGTTCAGGCTGGTTTTGCATAGCTGTCAAGATCGTGTTAATTCTGTTGAATTTGCCAAATTTTTAAAACCTGTGCTGTTTTCGAGCCTCTACTAGACCCTGAGGACAGGAAGATTCGTGAGACTCAATTGCTGCCCTTAGTTTCCAGTCTGTGTCGCCGAGGGGGTGCGGAGGTATCAACGTCATTTTACTATAAATGTGGCCCGTGGTGAGACACACAGAGCCACAGAGCCAGTTACAGGCTGTCTTGGTGTCACACAGGAAGAGCCGAGCCGCTGTGCTGGATGAGGTCATAGACCCGAGCAAGGACAACTTGGAACTGCATCTTGAGGGATAAATTCAAGGATTTACCATGGATGTGAACAGGGCTAGGGCATTTGAGTCCATGGGAAACGTCGGTGCAGAAGCGTGAGACACTCCGGCACACTGGGCCAACAGAAGAGTGACACCTGGGTCTAAGCCTGCCCGTGAGAAATGACATGGTGGAAGCAGGCAGATTCTTGGTCATAGAGGGCCTTGTAAGGCACAGAGGAGATCAGCCTTTGTCCTGGGGGTGATGGGAGCACTGAAGGGTTTTGAATGAGTTGGGAAGGTTCATGGGACCAGATTCGTGCTTTACAAAGGTGAGTAGTTTGGAGAATGGATATAAGGAAGCTGAGTCCAAAGGCACAGATGACCGGGGGCCGGGGGGCAGAGGGAGAGGAAGGACTCAGGTGATGAACTGGTTCAGTTTGGGGGACTTCGGCCAGACACCACCGGTGGTACCATTAGAACAGCATGTGGGAGCAGAGCCCAGGTTTGAGGAAAAGATTGTTTGGGGCAGGTCGGATCTGTTGTATCTAGGACATAGAGGTGTGAGGACCTGTGACCCATGAGCCGCACGAACCCACCGTTCAGGCGGGCAGTCTAGACTAGAGGTGCAGAACTGGGAAATAGGCCAGGGGGTATCCCACCCTGTCTCCTCAGCTTCGTCTCCTTCAGCAACAGCTCACCCAGCCTGCGTTTCCCGCCATTGTCCCCTCCGCTTTTCCATGGACCGCAGTCTGCCATGCCGGCCGACTACCTGGAAATTCCTCTCTGCCTCTGTGCTCTTGTTCCTCACTCAGCAACGATGCACACAGCATACAGATGGATTTTTCAAGGGGTTTCCCTCAAGTTCCCGGTGCCGGAAGAGCCTGTAGCTCTTCTTGCAGGTGTTCTTCTCAGGTGGTGAGGGTTGTGGTACCTGAGCCTCCAGAGTGTTCCCCTCGCCAGCCAGCTTATTTGGCCACTGAATCCCTGGATACACCTGAGTTCAAATTAGAAATGTTGGTAAAACCAAATGCTGCGACGACTTCAAGTATCCTCACTGTTTTCTTTCAGATGCGGAGGTCCCGCACAGCTCTCCAAGCAGCGAAGCTTTTCAGTTTCAGCCCCCATTGCCCCCCGGCACCCCTCCCCCGCTGCCACGGGGGACTCCTCCACCCATCTTCACCCCTCCGCTCCCCAAGGGCACCCCGCCATTGACTCCCAGCGACTCCCCCCAGACCAGAACAGCGTCTGCAGCTATGGATGAGGACTCGCTGACTCTGGAAGAACTTGAGGAACAGCAGAGGCGGATATGGGCGGCCCTCGAGCAGGCCGAGAGCGTGAACAGTGATTCTGACATTCCTGTTGACACACCTCTCACCGGGAACTCGGTCGCCTCTTCGCCTTGTCCAAATGAGCTAGACCTCCCTGTTCCAGAGGGGAGAACCTCTGAAAAGCAGATGATGCCTGATGAGCCCGAGGTACCAGACACTTGTACAAAGAAATCAGAAGTTGAACGTTCTCTGAGCCCAGATTCTGAGCCTACCTTGCTTTGTCAGAAGGAAAAGGAAGAGTCTGCTCAGGCGGACTCCAAAGATGCTCCTCTTGATAATGGCAGTGTTGTGTCGGACTGTGACATTAGAAACGGAGGCAGTCAGAAGCGCCTTCATGTGGACACCAGCCCTTCAACGGCCACTACAATTCATAGTCCTGTACCTGACATGAGCAAGTTTGCAACTGGAATAACGCCATTTGAATTTGAGAATATGGCAGAATCTACTGGAATGTACCTCAGGATAAGAAACTTGCTAAAGAACTCGCCCCGAAACCAGCAGAAAAACAAAAAGGCCTCTGAATAGCTGCTTGACTTAGCACGAAGAACCACTTAATTATCTATAACTTTGTGTTCTGTTAATTAGTACCAAGTGGAGATAAAATTGTTTTCCGATTTGTCCCTCCCATGTTTAAATCTATCCAAAGCTTAATTGTGGCCTAAAGTCAGGCCTGTTTTAAAGAACAGAAAGACTGGGCTTGCTGGTTTACTATATTTTATTCTTCTATCGATAAGAACTTGGCGGGAATGTAAGAGCTGGTTTAGAGATGGTTTGCTAAGGTTTCTACTACTTTTGGATTGTGTCTGTCGGGAGTGATGGTTTTTATCTGTCTTTTGTACATTGTTTTCCCTTTCTACATTTTGCTAATTATCCTGTATATAAGTTTAATATATCATTTTTTAAAAGAAAAAATTCTAACCATTTTAAATTCATACTTCAACTCTGACAACCAAATGAGAAAAATCAGGGATGAGCAGCTTTACCCCATTTGGGGTATTTTTGTAAGTGATTTACACGCATCAATTTTAATAACACTTTTACTTTTTTGTAACTTCATTCCTCATATAAGTTTGCTATACAGGTATGTTCATCTTTGTGTACAAAGGCTTAATAAATTAGCTTTCATATACATAATCTAAGACTTTGAATACAAAAAAAACGATTCACAGTTAAATTAGTGTATACAACCCTGTAAGTTTGGACGTAAATTATGTGGTAACAAAGAAAATCTAGTAAAATGCAAGTTTGAGTATTTTTAGTGTTCTTTCAGCCTTAACTATAGAGACAGCAGAATCTTTTAAAGTAATTATTTTGAAAAAAAATGGAGGGCAGCTAACCTTTGTACAAAAATAACTTTCTAGATTTGAACCCTAAGATAATTAATACTTAGAAATAAAAGGTAGACAGAAACAAATGGCTTTTAATTGTCAGCTATGTAAGATAGTGCTGGACTATGTGTTTTGTCTTTAAGTGGAATGCCATTACATTGTTACAGTCTCGTCCCTGAAAATCAACAACTTGAACTTAGTCTCAGGTAGTGTGATCCTGCTCTCAGGCCAGCAGAGGGAGCAAACTACAACCATTCCAGACCATTCCAGATTTCGTTTTCTTCGTTTTGAGGACTCGAATAACCACATCTACTCTTCTATAAACAGGAAAGGGAAAGAAAATCCTGGGAAAGAGGCAGTTTATTTTCAAGGCCCTTACAGAACGTGCTAGAAATTGAAGAAAATGTTAAATACTTTTGGCTCTTCTCTCTGAGTGGAAGTATATAATAAAAGTAATCCTAGGTTACGTAGTGTTTTTATGTACACTGTCTTAATGTTTCTGTTAGGGGCATATAATATCACATCACCACATTATGTCTATAACCCGAGGAAACAGGTGGCATTGAGAGGTTCCAGGGACTTGTCAGCATGCAAGAAGTGGTTGTTGACAGGCCAGTCTTCCCCTGAGGACTTGACTATTCCCTAAGTCATACAAGTAGTGAAGGGCTCCTGTGTGGACTGCTGGGAGCACCGGGGAGAGACACCTGGCAGTTCTCTCCTTAGCACGAGCCACAGGTCTCACGTTCAGGTGTGTGCGTGGCAGTCCTCCGTGTTCACAGTCCCCATACTAGGCAGGTATGGTTAACTTCATGTTTTAGAGGAAGTGCCTAAAACCGGCTGCTGGTAAATCACCCAGTGACCCTATCTCCAGAGCACTCTGACCCCCCACATCCATGCTTTTAGCCACTGGGCTGCCTCCTCAGAAGCTCTAGGAAAGCACTGGCTTCTCCAAAATTGGCTTCCATTTTTAACTTGTTCAATTACTTACCGAGGACACACTTAACGTAGTTCGATGTACTTTGGGGCCGTAGAAGGAGAAAATGATGGAATCTGCTGCTAGGAGCTTACACAGTAGCAGAAGACGATGGCTCCCTCTTAGTCACGAGATCCACGGAGTGGCCAAACGGAAAGGACAAGGTACTTAGACCGTCTCGGGTAGTGGGAGAAGCACCTAGGGAGGACTGGCTTCAGATTCACAGGGCTGTGGGTTCAAGTGTTTATTTGAAAGGTACTTAGAGAAACATTGAGCTAAGCCTAAAGGGGAGGTAGGATTTCCATAGATGAAGCGAGCATTGAATGTACAGGAAATGACAAGAATAACACGAGCAGAAACTCAAGAAATGTAGAGTGGTAGAAAAAAGGGCTTTCAAAAGGGCCGTTGATTCATCGACACTGAGAACTCTTGTTTGCTATATTATGGGGTTTGAATTTTATTAGGGAAAAGGATCTGCTTAAAGATCTTTCGGTGACGAGTGACCTCATCCAAGTGGTATTTTAGGAAGATGAATCCTAAAGCAGAACTGAGAATGAATTGGAGAGAAGAGACATTTCATAGAAGGAAGCCTCCCCCAAATGAAAAGTACTTGCCTTAGGAAGGTGCCCCATTTTTAAAATCTGCTCGACCTGCTGTATTTGAGCATGATGGAAAGTGCTGGGCGGAACAACAGGTTGTATGGACTTGTCTGCTCAGTGACAGATCTCGGGGTGTGCGTGGGTGAGGTCATGAGCAAACACTTGTACTTCAGGATGGACTTGGAGCTGGGCCGGGGACCGGTTTCTAATCTTTGCCTTGGGTTAGAAGGAATGTGGATTATAATACGGGTTGCTAAAAAAGACCAGGTGTCATCTCCTTGGGCAGGTAAGTGGGAAAAAGGCACTGCCCTTACTCAAACCAAATAACTGATTTCTTCTTTCAAAAGCTTGCATTTCCTTAAGTGGTCAAAAATAGCCTGCTTTCTACCGACAACAGGCTTTCTTCTAGTTGGTTCTATTCTTCAAGTTCTCTGCTGGAACCATTTTGCCCGTCTGTGTCATACTTTGTAGCTTGTCATTAGCACGCAAAGTCAACAAGGGTGTTACAACAGTTTTAAATACCCAAGTGGTTTGTAAGGCATGACTCAGTTCCCGAGAAACTGATGTGTCCACACAACCTGTGTTTTTCTTCAGCAGTCAGGAAAGTCCTTTTTCCTTCAACCTAATGTATTCATTGATTTAATGGTCTAAATTCACTTTAGAATGTTCAGGGTGAAATTATTTTGTTGAAGTGTTTATAAATTGTTCTTAATTACAGAGCCATTTCTATTTTAATAAATCGGAAGTTTCTGAACAGGCATGTTTTGTGAATTACCAGCAATCTAGGCAGAATGTTTATGGAATATTGGAGTGGAGGGAAAATGTGACAGCTGTCTAGTCTAAAAGGGAATTATATATATATATATTTAGGCTCCTAAAGAAAGAACTGCATTTGGTGGGGGGGGGGTGGGGGATGGAGGGAGACTGTAAAATTAAATTAAGCAGAACGACCTCCCTCCCTATTAGTTGCAGAGCATGTGTTTGTCATTCATATTTGGATTTTGAATTTGTGGATTTTATAATTTAGAAAACCAGCCCTCTGTAAAATTCACATCCCATACCCTTCTACTAGCTGATGTTAACTGTCTATGCGTTAGGTTTAACTTCTAGTGAATTTCCATTTGCAACTACACCCCTTAGTAACTATTTAAAGTATATATAAAGTGAGAGACTTGATTTTTCTTTAAAATCTTTACTTTTGGAATTGTAAGCAGAAGGAGTAACAAAACCATCAATCTGAAGGGAAAATCTCCTGTAAAGGAGACCCACGCCATTTTTCTTCGTACAGTATAGAAATTTATTTTTTTACCAATTTTCTAAACCCCCAACTTTTTTTTTCTTTCCCCAAATAGAAAGTCTTCATTTTTTGTTGATTATAAATGTAATACATATTTGTTTTATAAATTCAAACAAAACAGTAGTATAAAGCCCTTTATAATCACAACTTTCAGAGAAAAACCATCGTTCGTGGTTTGGTATACCTTTTTCCTGAGCAAATACATGTAACTAAGAATTTTTAAAAATGTTTTGTATACGTGTGTTTCAATAAAAGTGAGATTATACTGTACTCTTAAGTATTTGAGATCTAGTTAATTCTTTTTTTTTAAGATTTTATTTTTGGGGGCGCCTGGGTGGCTCAGTCGGTTAAGCGACTGCCTTCGGCTCAGGTCATGATCCTGGAGTCCCGGGATCGAGTCCCGCATCGGGCTCCCTGCTTGGCAGGGAGTCTGCTTCTCCCTCTGATCCTCCTCCCTCTCATGCTCTCTGTCTCTCATTCTCTCTCTCAAATAAATAAAATCTTAAAAAAAAAAAAAAAGATTTTATTTTTGTTTGGGAGTGCCTCGGTGGCTCAGATGGTTAAGGTTTTATTTTTGTTTTAAGTAATCCTATACCCAATGTGGGGTTTGAACTTACAACCCCGAGATCAAGAGTCCCACACTCCATGGACTGAGTCAGCCAGGCACCCCTCCAGTTATTATGCTTGATGGCTACATGGTAGCACACCATATTTATTCAATATCGTTTATGATACGTTCGCTACAAATGCTGCAGTGAATATATTTTTTTAAGTTTTTGTTTTTGTTTTAGAGAGCGAGAACGAGCATGTGCGTGAGTGGCGGTGGGCTGGGCAGAGGGAGAGGGAGAGAATCTCCAGCCGACTCCATGCTAAGCCTGGAGCCTGATTCAGGGCTTGATCCCACGACTGTGAAATGGAGCAGAGACAGAATCAGATGCTTATCCAACTGAGCCATCCAGGTGCCCCTGCAGTGAAGTTTTGTTTTTGTTTTTGTTTTGTTTTTATTTATTTGAGAGAGAGAGAGTGCACAGGGGGAGAGGGAGAAGCAGACTCCCTGCTGAGCAGGGATTTCCCCCCCCCCCCCACCGCCCCGCAATGCCGGGCTTGATCCCAGGACCCTGAGATCATGACCTGAACTGAAGGCAGACTCTTTTTTTTTTTTTTTTTTAAGAATTTATTTATATGAAAGAGAGAGAATGAGAGTGAGAGAGCACAAGAGGAGGGAGGGGCAGAGGGAGAAGCAGACCCCCCGCCGAGCGGGGAGCCCGATGCGGGACTCGATCCCGGGACTCCAGGATCATGACCTGAGCCGAAGGCAGTCACTTAACCAACTGAGCCACCCAGGTGCCCTGAAGGCAGACTCTTAACAACTGAGCCACCCAGGCACCCCTGCAGTGAACTTTTTTTTTTTTTTTAAGATTTTATTTATTTATTTGAGAGAGAATGAGAGAGAGA